ATTGAGCCAGATATTTTGCAGGGAGAGGGATCTTTTTAATGAAAGAAATAAATAAGAATCAGACGAGGTTGAAAATCTCGATGGAAATCTCAGCGTTGCGTGCAGGCCGCGAAAGAAACTTTTGAAACAATCTAATAGTTTGAATAATTGTATGTAATAATACATTGCATGCGGTGGAAACGTCAAGATCATTGAATTATTGATTCAGAGTAACAGGAAAATTTCGAAAATTTACATCGTTAACACTGTATTAGCGAAATACGTTGTCTTACGTCTACAAAATATCCAATGAAAATTATAAACTGGTCGTTTTGATCATTTCGTAATTCTAGAAGCGATCAATAGTCAATTTGATTTTTAGTTAACATATAATTACTTTTTACGTAAATTAACAATTGGTACATGTGAACAAAGTTATAAGTTAAAAATTAACAATGCACACATACTATTATGCGTACGAAACAATAAATATACTATTATGCGTACGAAACAATAAATATACTCTATAGTTATAGAAATTACAGTGTTTATCGTTCCTTTATAATTCAAATATAATTAAATGATATTCATTGATTTCCTTTAATTTCAAGATTATTAATGAATCAAAAATGATTAAAATTTCAATTTTTTTTTTTATATTTTTTAGTGTGAATTTAACTTTTTTTCCTCAACATTTTTAATTAATAGGATTAATAGGAATACCACGACGATATTCGGATTATCCTGATATGTAATTTCAATAAATAGATTATTATTTTTAATTTAATGTTATTTATGAAAGATTAATATCTAAACGATTTATTTTATTTAAATTTAATCAATCTTCTTTAGAATGATTAAACAACTATCCTCCATTTAATCATATATTTAATGAAATCCCATTATTATTTATTAATAAAATTAAAAATATTTTTAATAAATAATTGATTTAACATGGTAGAATAGTGCTTTGAATTTAAGCAATTCAAATGTAAAATTAAAGTTCTTATTAAAAATTTCAATGTGAAATATTCAATTATAACGAGGACTATGAAACAACAAAAATGTAAATTATTAATCACTGTAACTGGAGAGCCGTATTTCGAAGTATTGAAAATTATCAATTGTCTCGCATCATTGACGAGACATTAAGTATGACTTTGATCGATATCGAGACAGATATTGGCTCATTGCCAATTAAACTTCCGTCGCGTGCGCATCGACCAAACTTTCGAAGTGTGTGTCAGAGTTTAAATAACGTATCTGAATATTCTAATTATTTAAACATTATTTAATATTCGAAAAAGTGTCACGAGTGTTAAAAGTGAGCACGTGGACTGTGTTTGAAACGCTTACATTGCCGAAGTGAACTTGAGAAGCAGAAGCATCAGCAAATGTTCAAGAAATTCAGAAACATTGTACGAAAACATAATCAAAGTCCAACCAAATTTCGATCTGCAATTCTGCGAGTTCAACGACTGGTAAGTCACACGATTTGGTTTTCTCAGTGATTGTTTGAACTTTATACTTTGAATTAAATACTTGAGTTATTAGTGACAATCGTGATAGTTATAATATACTTGTTCTTCTGCAAGTACGTAATATTAGTTTAACAATATTATTGCTATTTAAATATCATTGGACATTCTAAGCGTTTCTCTTTGAACTTTTGAATTAACAGAAAAGTAATCGTGTTTTTTACTAATAATCTGTTAAACAAGAATATTTATTTCAGTGTTTTAAAGTTGTCAGATCGATCAAACTATTATGCCTGATTCTATTGTTTTCCTTTTTTAATAAATTGCTTAAATTCAATAGCAAGTGTGATAATCGTGACTCGTATGATAAATATATAAGCAGTACTGATTTATGACTATATTTATGATAATAAATATTAATACTAAAGGAGTATTTATTATTCGTAAGGAGAATCAAATTTTCGATTTCTTCGAATATTAAACTTAAGAACTACGTAACAAGGCCTTGCCAAATTTTTTCTCCTTTTTTTTTTTTTATTTCACGGTCTGTAGGGACAATTAGTTAATAAGTAAAGCTATTGGATTCCACCGCGGGGACAATGTGAGACGACGAGGGACATCGTGGTGTAAAATAATTCGCAAATAAATATCCTGAAATATTGCGATGATACGTTTTCTGCGTAGTGAATTCAGACACTCCGTTTTTTCTTTAAAACATAAACATCGAAAATAAACATCGTATTCAAGGAACATCGTATTAGCAAAAGGTATTTCGAAAACGAGAATCTCGGGGAAACGGTGCTGGCTCGCGATTAAATTAGCTTGTAAATTTAAAAATCGATCGCCCCGGACATCTATATTACGGCGGTAATTT